ACCTGAAGAGAAAATTGGCCCAAGTGTAAAAAGAAAAACCTCCAAGTGACCAAACTCTTAATAAAAACCTGAAAGCACTAAAGTGACCACTAGATGGCAGCAACACAATCATTTTCACCAAGTGTGTGTTTACTTAATCTGACGTTCAAGTGGACATTTTGACTGGCACAACTACACACCGACACACCATTGTAGAGGAGATGTGTTACATGTTTTAGAGTCATTATTTATGGCACAATATAAATCACCTATTTAATCACCTAAACATTTACAGTTTCCCAAAAAATAGTGTTGCACCTACCTGTGTTGATGACAAATGTTATGTAACCATTAAGTGTATATATAAATAAACCTATTGTACTCATAGTATATCTTTGTGAATATTTAACAGTGCTTTATTCGCAACTTATTTTAATGTTTGTTTCAAAACCTCGTTGAAGTTGTCACCTCCCTTCCTTTCATTCATCTCTTCCTCCCACAACCACAAACACCTAGGCTGACTCTCAATGTCCTCCCTAAACCCTGGGCCGTTACTGAATTTGTTAACGTTAGCTGGAAAGTGATTGAGTGCATGAGGCTGCGACGGCTCCAATGGTTAAATACAAATGGGACAGCACTTCTCTGTAACCATGACAGCATGATGTAATGTGGCAAAAGCTTATTTAACGTTTTTTACTTGTCTCACTCACAACCATGGCGCTTATAAAAAGTTCTACTCAATATAGAACTCTAAATACATTTATTCGTTGTGGGATAAATAAAGGTTTATCTTATGGGACTAATACGCTCTCTGTCTCTCTTTTTTTGTTTATAGACTTGCAAATGAGTTATGAATTAGCTGTAGTTTCCAAATAACCTTTTTTAGTAGACTGTAAATAGAGCGTGGTTTCACCTTCCTGTTTTTTTACTGTCTCCACCTTTTTTTTCCATTTTATGCCGTTTGTTTACCTTTCAATTCTTGTGGGCTTCCCCGGGAAATCATATGTTTCACGTCACAATGCTATGAATGTGGGTAATTCCCTCACTTTAAGTCTGCAGATATGCCCACTTACGGACAGGGTGCATAAAGGGCTCGTAAAGTCAGCGAGAGATCTCTCAAACAGCACTAAGCCCTCACAGACTTACCGGAAACGCGCACCAAAGTCAGTGAGTGTGTAAGGGGGGACATCGAGATTGGGCCCTCGATTCTGCGGTAGCAAGCCCCACCTATTCCTGTTCTACTTCCACCGGGTGGAAGATGGAGATTAGAGGAACCAGCAGGGGAGAACAGCGCTGTGTGTGTTTGTGGCGCTGCTGCATTTTTGCGACACTATAAGGCCCGCTTGGCAAAGCTGGAACTTAGGCACTCAGCTCATTGACTGAAACACCAATATGACGCCGTCAGGGAATCTATATGAATGTACAAAGACATGCCCATGTTATTCTCTGATGATCCCATCTAATGATCCAGCCCTACTCCCTTCTGCTTAAGCAATGTTAGGTTTGTTGTATTATCTTGATATTAAAAAATGCTTTACTCTTTAAGATTTCCTGCCAATTTAATTTATTACTTACGTCAGGAGTCATCCTGAAACTTATGACACGAATGAGGTTAACATAAACAGAAGTAAGACGGTTAAAGAGGAAGACTACAGAGGATAATAAAAAAAGAAGACTGGGACTCATTCATTTGATGATTGTCTTGCAATATATATCAAGTATCACAGAGTCACTGTGCCGAAGCATTATTGTGATGAATAAGGTGCATAGCAATTACTATGAGACATCCTTTTCTGTGCATCACTTTAAATTAATTCACATCCACCTTGATGCTTTCCACTGACTGTTGTTCACCAAATAATGAGAAGACAGAGATTTTTTTAATTATTTTTTTTAGAGATATTACACTCATGATATCCTTTTTTGTGTTCCCCATCTGCAGAACTTTTCCAAGAACATCTTTGCCATCCTTCAGTCAGTGAAAGCCAGAGAAGAAGGGCGAGCACCGGAGCAGAGACCAGCACAGAACACTTCTCAAGCTGTAAGAAAAGACTCTGCTTATGTGCTATATATATAACAGTCTAAAATTGGCCAGGCACCAGTCAAATTCTAGTTTTTACATACTATTAGATGTTTAATAATGTGGCATGCATTAAAGAGTGAACTGCTGCTGGTCTTTTCACTTCCTATTCTTAAATCAATGGAGCTTGAAATGAAATGAGAGTTTGTGGAGAGAAGGTCGGTAGTTATTAAGCAGTGAAAAATCTCTACATGATGTGTACGGCTTGATTAAACAATGTAGTGACAAGCATGAACAGGAATAAATTACTCAAGATTCATGTTGTTTTCAGGACCCGTCCTTAAGGAACAAGCAGCCAGTCCAAGCTGCTTACAACAGATATGATCAGGAGCGATTCAAAGGAAAAGAGGGTAAGTTGTTCTGTAGCATCAAACATATAACTGAAGTTAGTGTGTGGCAGTCAAAAAAAAAAAAAAAAAAAAATATATATATATATATATATATATAAAAAAACCATTTCCTTCTGACAGTAGTCTACAATTAAGTGACTTTTCATTTTATTTTAGAAACGGAGGGTTTCAAGATCGACACCATGGGCACATACCACGGCATGACCCTGAAGTCAGTGACGGTAAGACCAAAGCTCTGTTGTTTGCTCAGACCTACACGGTGTGTAAAAGTCACCCTTAACACCTCTCAAAAGTCCCCTTTTTAGATTTATTGGTATCTGTCCAAACAGCTGCCAACCAAAGCCTTATGTGACCTAAACATTTTTTTTACTTTATCCAGCTTATTAGGTTCTGTAATTTGAAGGTCATTTATTTCCTAGTTGTATGCTTCTCTTTTTTGTTTGAAAAACTCATGTCTAATTGTGTCCAATGAATGTTTTAATCCATGACCTCTCAAACAGAAGTTGCGTTCAGCAAAAATAACAATCTAGTGAGATGAGAATTGAATGTCAGAAAATGTAAACAACAGTGGTCCATGCCAATCGTTACCTCAGGCAAACAATATGTGGAGCCTGTCTTCAACATGTAATTCCTAAATATACTTAAATATATATATATATATATATATATATATATATCTATCTATCTATACTCTTTTTTAAAATGACTTCACTGACAAGTTGCTTCACTTAACAAAATGTTTTATTGGCACAACAGCATTTTAAAATCATTTCAAAATAAGGATCTTTAAACAAAGTAGATTGTTCTTATTTATATATTTATATATGTGCATAGATTCTCAAATGATTTGTAATGGACAAAAATGTTCTCTTTTGAACAAAACAAATTGAGAATCCCCCTAGAGCACCTCCTCCTTCTACAAACATTTATGCAGATTTTTTGTTAAGTTGTATAGCTACACTCTGGGGAAAAACTTACATTGCAGTATCTTATCAGCTTAGGGTATATTTTAAGATATTGGTAAAATAAAGAAAATAAAATCAGAGTTTTTTTTTTTTTTTTTTTTTTTTTTTTTTTTTTTTTTTAAACGTAAATCTCAATCTAATTATCATACTTTTATTATTTGGGACTCTGAGCTAATTTTTTTGCTTTCAAATGGAAATCCCTTCCAACTTTCGTACTTTGCGTTCAGCCCTCTGACAGTGGCTCGAAAGAAGTTTACAACATTATAACTGGCCCGCTGGCCCAGATGAATGATTGACAGAGTCCGGGCCAGCTGATAAAATACTGCCTGAAAGAAATAGACTAACACGTTCTCAATTTCACAGCGGTATCCTCTCAAACCGGTGTTTTATCAGTAATTATTTTTTAAACGTCGTGCTAATAACTGCTACATCATCAACGTATCAAGCGCTCGTGCACGTGCATGTGTGTCATAGTTGAAAAGCAGCCGACGGCTTTACTGCTGTCCCTCCCACGAGCACGCTCGCTACTCTCAAATTGTACACTCGCACACAGATGTTAGCGCAGGTTTTCTCTATTAAAAAATATGTTTGGTAAAACGGTTTTAAAACCATCAGATCCCGACAAAAGCCGAGCTTAAATCATCATTCAAAGGGGAAAAAAATCACCGGAAGAGTCGAGAGTGACAGCAGGGCATGACGAAAACAGAACGGAGAAGAGTTTCGGCCACAGTGACAGACAGCTGGAGGAGCTGGAACACGCTGCAGCTGAATTTCCCCTTAAAGTTAAGACTAGATCCTGGTAAAGATAAAAGTTATTCACAAAGCATCTTAGCCCTTAAGAGATCTCCTAAAGTAAAGATCTAAGGATGAAGAGTTTCTCACAGAGAAGAAAGAAGGAGAGAAAGGTGATCATAACAATTCCAGCTCTATCACAGCCTCATATTAATATCAATCAGATTAAGTAGACTCTTACAGTTACCACCATGGTGAATAAACATGAGCATGTAGATGTAAGAAAAATACACAATATTTGATATAACTGGAGCTCAGTTAATTAAATAAAACTAACCTAATATTCACCTTAACCTAAAGATTAAACCTACATGAAACATATCCGACTAGTGAGAGTTCCCGCCCTCTGTGTCTGGCGTGAAGCCGTTTAATGTCCCCGACAACCACTGTAGTCACACTAGCCACTTGTTAGCAACCGCCTTTTTAAAGACGCGTAAAAACTTCAAAATTCACAAGTGTGGGTATTACCTAACGTAGTTTATGTGGTCTAACAAAACATCAACATCTCTTAAGCTTATGTTAACCACAGACCTTATTTCAGGCTTCTAACCACAAACCCATTCAAAATCCCCATTGACTTTTAGACGTTAGACCCCATGGCGCTCAAAGGGTTTTAGGACTCATTCCTGTGGCGCTCTATAGCCTCCATAAACAAGCTGTTATTCCTTCCCTGTTATAGACAGGGAAATATGCGGGATGGACGGTAGAATACACTGTGATCTCCTATTCCGCTTCTGCTATAGATTATCCAAATTACAAACTCATTTTGTATCCCTTGTCATTTGACTTCATGTGTAAACCAGCTCCTTAAAAATGACTTCACTTAATATTTGCTTCACTTGTCAAAATGTTTTATTGGCCAAGTACCTTTTTCACTCATCATCTACAAAACACACAAAGCAGAATTTGAGTAATTACAAAAAATAGCTCTGTATTTTTCAGACACAGATTATCCTCTAGTCAAATGAAACATGTACATAAAGTCTCTATGGATTTGACTCGGGCATAAAAACCATTTTTGTCCATTTTGTACAAAATCAGCAATCACTTTAGACAGCTGGGTCATTGTTTCAAACCTTTAATGCAGAATTTATATCCCGCACCCATAAGAACAAAGTGTGTACTGCCTCTTTCACACATGCACTGCAAACCTGAAGATGTCCCAATATGTCCTGGTGGGGTACATCTTTCAATGCACTCAGCTGAATCTCTACACCTGACTTTATGCAGACTCTTCTTTCCAGCCCTCTATTCCAAATTAGTGTGAAGACATGGCGGGGCAGATGTGTGACACAGTATGTAATAGTCTGAAACACTCAACACCAGCGAGTGGAAGGGGTGATGTTGTTCAGGCAGAGTTTGGCTGCTTAATACTCTACTGCTCATCTCAGTTGTCCAGTTAGTTTTCCACCGCTGTCTTTTTCTTGTGGAAAAACGCCCGAACATGTGATAATGTTGAGATGCATCAATTGCAATTTCATGGGCCAATTCTGATTATCAGTGTTTTCCTGATGAAGCTGATTTTCTGATGCTGATTTTCTTTCTTTAAACAATATGAAATTGGCTGCTATATATATGATATATCATGTCATGTTTTATATCAGTTAACTTTCATATGCATTGATTGATATGTTTTTTTCCCTTACAAAGTGATACATCTCACATCAGGTCTCTCACACTGAGGTTTTACCTTTTAAGGAGAGGGAGAGAGCTCTCGGCCACACTGCGGACGTTTTGTGGGTGTAGCTGTGGTGTTACTGTTTGTCGAGAAAAGCGCTGACTCAATTAAAATTGTTAGGTCGTGTCAGACGTCTATCAGGGCCAAGCAGGGTGGAAATCATCCATTTCTAGTCTTCAGCCAGTAAATCAGTGCACCATTACATTAGACTCCGTCCTTCATCTGCACATGCAAACTAGTGCTGAGATGTAAATCAATTGTGTCAAGCAGAATCTGACTTTAACTTCATAGCTTAATGAGCCTCATTCTCTTTGTTGTGTTTGTTTCTATGTATCCTGCCTGTTCTCCCTCTACTCCTGTTGAAGCAGGCATTGTTTTTGGTGCTCTGCAGGTGATTCCAGTATTTGAGTATTTCATTAGGATGAAAGCCATGTGATGTAATAAGGTGGGAGTACTTGCAGCTGGAATAAGACACCCGCCAGTGGTTGAATAGGAATGCATTGGATGGAGGAGCCGGCTCTATACCAAGCTTGGCCAGGCATATTCCCACATAAACATCCTCCAAATGAAGGCGAGGGATACTGAGCGATTTTCGATAGATATTTGTCGCCAAGTCTCCTGAGAAGACGTAACCAGTCCCAGAACAGAAGGTGGGGTACCTTTCACCTGGATACAGTTCAGGAGGCATGTACCACTTGCTGTTTTTATTTCTATTTGGTGAAAAGTTTCTCATGTTATTGCCCGTGAAAAAGTTTGTTTTAGGCTTCATTTCTGGCCGGAGTAGCTTGTAAATGAGGTACTCCGTGTTGACAAACATGTCGCTGTCCGTCTTCATAACATAGCTGGCTTGTGGGCAGTATATTGCCACCCAGTTCAATCCCATCAAAGTCTTAATGGTCAGGTTGTTGTAGGTATCTCTGAAGTCCTGCTGGATGATATCGTGATACCTGTGACTCTCTGCTTCAAGCGTCTTCTGCTGTAATAGTCCCAGCTCTCCGTTATTTCTTCCCAGCAGAAAAAGCCGGATTAATCCCAGAGTTGGAGCCACGCTCTCATTCGCCCATGTTTGTCGAATGGCATTTCTTGCCTCCACCTGCCGAGCCTCAGTGGTTATTAGCAACACAAGAAATGGGGAAGATCTGCTCTCTGTACATTTGTCTGGCTCGTTGATGAAATAAGTGTAAGGCCCAGGGGTAATATTGCCTCTGTGTTCTCCCTCTTCACTGACCGACAAAGTGTTCTCAACATTTGGCTCACCATGAGGTGAGGGGGCACCTTCCTTCTCATGTGTGCTGATGTTTGCAACAGTGGACTGAGGAGAAATGACCAGCCTCCACCCTGACGTTTTGGTGCTAATGTTCAGTTTGGCTTTAGATGTACCAAGCTCACCACCTTTGTATACCACAGGATGATGTCTGGACCACGGCATACCTGTGAGCCTAGGCTGAACCAAAAAGAGCAGTACACCCAGAAATGAGAGGAGATAGAAGAGAGATGCTGTGTACGAACAGCAGTGGCGTCGTTTCCATTGCATGGTTACAGCAGGAATGTTCTTCTCAAGACAGGTGTCAAACTTTTACGATGATCTCTAGCAGCTTCTCAACCGGCCTTAGCTCCTGGAGTGAAGTGTATTTGGTGGGTTGTCAGCTCTAATGTTTTATCTCTTGTCATTGCCTATGAAATGGGGGAGAAGATATTTGAGCCATTAGATTAACAGGAATGCCACATTAAAACTGATATAAGCTATATTTTTGTCTTGACAACTCATAATAGCGCTTTTCTAAGTGAAAGACAACTTTCTATGACTAACTCCCATCAAACAATGATTCTTCTTAACTTCATGGTTCTCTAATCATTTTTCAGCCGTTTCTGTTCAATGGTATTAACTACATTAGAAGACGTCTAGCTGATACTTTTTACTGTCTACTCTTCTTGATGTTATTTAGGCATCTTCATGAATGCTGAACACTGATCACAGTGTAATTGTCAGTTATCTGTTTTAAAGAATCATTTTGTTTTTCTGAACTCAACAGGAAATGAAGGGTGTGCCTTCTATAAGAGAAACGCTAGTTTCTATTACTGTTTATGTATGCAGGAGAGCTAACAGCACCCACAAAATGAACATGACATTTCTATTCCGTCAGTATTGGTCTTGTTAAGGAAGGGTTATTGAGAGAGCAGCCTATGTTTGCAGGCTGTGAGTGCCCTGAAGTGAAGATAAATAAGTGAAATGGAAACTAATATCTGGCTTATCAGGGCCAACATTCAAATCCTACACTGAAATGTGTTGCGTGTGAAAAGATGTGTTTCATGCATCAACTCACCGTTTTATTCTCTGCACTTTTTATTTCTAGCATCCATTGTTCCAGAATGAGATGATTTAATGTCCTCACGCACTGATCGCCCTTTTGGTCACTGATCCATCTGTGCTTTTGGCAAATCACAGTCAGTTGGAGCTTGACTCTTTAGTTTCTCGTTTATTTCCTTTGTGATATGTCACAGATTTTCCTCTTCTGTCCACTCAAGCGTTCATAGTGCTGTTCTTTAGAAAAAGAAAAAGGTTTTGCTTCTAGGCACTGGTAGCTATCCACCACATGCATGCACAAGTGTGATTGTGCATACGTGCATGGGCAGAACATGTGTCTGAAATCCAGTATTGCAGCCTCTCAGTCTGTTTTGGCGCATTGTCCCTAGAGGCTCGATGCTAACGGTGCTGCGCTGCTGATTCTGCCTTTGGTCAAAGCGAGTCAAACAGTATTGACAGTTAGCTGCAGCCTCTGGTCCTTCCGCTGTCCTCATGTGTCGTATTGTGGAAATCAAAACAGCAGTGGATAGGTAGGAATCCTTTCAGGATGATGGTTTTGCCTCACACGTCAACATTGGTCCATCTTCTCCTTTATTCCATACAGATCCTTGTTTCCTCTCACCCTTCCTCTCTAATTCACACGCTCTCGTGTGAACATCCCTCCCCCCACGTGCTTCTGTCCCTTTTTTGTTCTGCCTCTCCCTTTCTCAACATCCTCGTTCAGTAGGCTCTTCCTGTTTTCGCTCTGTGTTGTCTGTGAGCAGACTAGAGGAGTGAAAGCTGCGGGGGAGGAGGAAGATGAACGAGAGAAAGCACTGTGAGCTCTGCGTTGCTTCTGAAAGGCAGCGCTAGGCTTGGTAGGCGGTACGCTCATCCACCACGTCATGCCGTCTTTTAGGCTGTTGCTGCCTGCTCTGTTAAAGGGGAGGGGGTGCTGGGCTGCTGACCCATTTGTATTCACGCCCACTCTCCAGAAAGAGGAATAAACCATCTCAATTGTGAAAGAGAGGGATGAGAAAATTATGTCAATACTTGCGCAAACCATCAAGGTTAACAAATTGACGTGAGGTTACTTCTCCATTCTTAGAACACAGTAAAACCCCTGTTTACTGTTTCATGCACCTCCTGACAGTGTCCTATGCTGGATGATTTTGTTGATCCAAACAGAGACAATTAAAACAATGATCTGTCTACGCTCACTCAGCCATGGTGGTCTGCCGTCTCGATTTCCATATACGGGCATTGTCATTTTAATTCTACTACAATATGACTGGGAGCCATTGTTTTTTGTTTTTTTTTAAAGGAGGTTAGGGATAGAGGGGAGCTTGATTTTCTTTGCATGCACACTCATGGGCAGTTACGATCTCCCTTTTGTTCGGCCTGCACAACATTACATACCCTCATTTGTATCTTATTAGATAATAAGCAGGAAAGTTCCGGGAACAAAATAACCTAATACTGTGTTTGTGCTTAATCTTAATCTCTATATGAACTGACAGTCAGTGGCTGTTTTCGTTACCGGCTACTACATGCTACTATCAAAAACAATATGTATTGCATACTGCGTTCAACAGTAGTATGTAGTAAGACTGCCAGTCGGTGGTAACTTAGTATGCCAGGAATGTGGAAGTAAGCAGTTATCCAGTTGACGGCTAACAACCCTACAGTGTGGTATCCACCTTCGATCTGAAGAAAGCCAACAAGTGTTTCATTTTGATTTTCATGATTGTGGGAATCAAAAATCATAATTGGTGATATCCTGTTTGTGATTATTTCCCCTGTTACGATGGCTGCGGCTGTCTGACCCGGTGTTTGGCATTGTGTGAAACAGTACGCGAAAAGACTGGTCTGATACATACTGTCGATTTTTCCATATACGTCCGGGTATCATTCCTGCAGATCTCGCATTTTTTGGCATACTGCTTACTGCATGACCAAATCAGTAGTACATACTACTAGTTTAGTTGGTGGGTTCGAAAACCACCTGTGTCTTTCATTCATCCAAAATCTAAACATTTAGACTCCTAGCAGACATACTGATATGACAATCTGACTAGATTCCACAGTACCTGGCTACTGGAAAAGCAAGGAGATATGAACTACAATAGTGGTCAGTTTTTTAATATCAAAACTAGCAGGTATGTCATTTTTCAGTACTTGTGTTGTGACAGTTTTGCTAATAATCCCACTGTTCTTATTGTAAAAGATGTTTAAGTTCAAATAGCAAGGCTGCTTTATATGGATGAAAAAGGTTTTGCACCCAACTTCAAACTCCCTCAAACACAATTTTAGAGCTGTAATATGAAGCAAAGCCTATCTTTGTGCAGTGCACTATCACCAGAGAGGAGCTGCTGCTGAGCTGCAGACAAGCAGTTTATCTGTAATTGACAGGGATCCTGCAGAGCTGCTGATAGGCCTGGCCCTCCAGCTAGAGGGGCGGATGAAGGGAACATTTTTAATGGTTCTCATCAGGAAACCTTGGGGGCTTTCTAATGGTATAGACTGGTTGTTTTATAATACCGTAATGTTGTTGTTGTTGTTGCTGTGCAATTGCCCACAATGTGCAGATGTTATCCTCTAAGGTTTGGCAAAGTGCTTTTGAAAGCAGAACTGCTTGGATTGGCAGGGAGTTCAGTCCTTGCATTTGTGAGCAGCATCCGGGCCAGGGCTGCAACCTACTTCAGAAGAATTTGATGCGGGATCAGATGCTGAAGGACAGTCGAAATGAATCTCATAGAATATTTACTCAATGTTTATTGTTTTAATTGAAAAGGCGTTGCCTGAATATTTCACTCAGCACCATTAACGATCTAACCTCTCTCCATTTTTCAAAAGCATCTCCAATATTGATCCTAGTTTTACCCATTTCGGCTCATGGAGCTTATAAGAAAAGTGCAGAGGCTTTTTAAGTCGAGAGAATCCATTGCATCTGAACCAGTTCACTCGCACGCTTTGCCTGGCAAACCGAGAGGCATCCAAAATGGCCGTGTAGGGGTTCCTTAAAACCGCCTACCTTCTCTGGTAAAAACAAAAACAGCCGGAACAACCTTTCACACCAGAATCAAAACTTAAAAGGAGGACATACTGTTTACTGCATTTTTGTCAGAGAAGCCATCACTTCAACAAATCATTTTTCTTTAAATTCTGAGGATATAGTAAGATAATTGTATTCTTTAATTTAGTAGTTATCTTGCATATTGCTCATTTGATAAAGATATCCTTGTTTTCTGACGGTGTAAGCTGATCCATAAGCTGAAGCTGCTCATGTTGACGTTGACCTGCTTTTATCCATATTTAGAATAATTTTCAGCTTAGACATGGTACACTTTAAGTTTGTTCAAAATATTCACTGAGATGAAATACCTGACTAAACCAACATTCATTTGTTCATTGTTTGTACACGTAAAATTAGATTCTTTCAAAGGCAAAATAAAAACCTGATATTCTGCCAAATCCAAGCCAAAGTAGAGCCAGCTAACAACCACTGACATGTCAAATTGGCTGTAGGTGCAGTCCAACACTTAGTACAAGCAACTGACCATTAGACATGCTAAGGCTAAGACATATTGACTCATTTATAGACACTGAACAATGAGTAGGCATGTTTCTGTAGCTCCACTATCAGTGCGAGCTGCAACCGCAGCATGCAGCAATGTCAGCACATGATTGATTACACACACACACACACACACACACACACACACACACACACACACACACACACACACACACACACACAAAATCATATAGTATTTGTGCACGGTCAGTCACACACTTACTTATCTACAGAAATAGGAGGATGTGCAGCTATCAGCATGGATCATTTTCTTTTAAGATGTTTTAAAAGTAGCTTCTCCCTTATTCCCTCAACTCTTCCCTGAATATACTTTTCAGTCAAATTTAACATGCCTTAACAGGACCCCTTTTGTTGCTGGAATATTATTTAAAAACAGAGTTAGTTTTAGAAAATGTAATTTTTTTTGTGTTTTTTGTTGTTGTTTTTTGCAGGAAGGAGCGTCTGCTCGGAAGGCCCAGACCCCTGTTCTGCCGCCAGTACCGCGTCCAGGTTAGTGTCCAATTCAAAATGTCAGCATGTACATGTCTATTATCAAGTGTTTGAATAGGTTGAATAAGATCTGTGTCAAACCTCAATGTCAGGGTGCTTTTGACCAGCGCTTACCTCTGCTTACAAAAGTTGTCTTAAAAACATTGGTAAGGTATTGTGTCCTGGCATTAGCAGGAGACTCAAGACTTAAAAATTATACCCTCGAAAAATGAATGAGTCAATGAAAAGGGAGTCTGGTTGCACGAAATGAACCACACAAGGAAAAGGATTAGTTTCTAGTTCTGATTGGTCAACAAGGGAGAAGTGACATTGACCAGCAGGATGGTGTTCCAGAAGTAAAACTATTTCAAGCTGAGACGCTGTGAGCTGCATTGGTTTTGTGTAGAAAGAAAGCCATTAGTAGATGCAGGCCCTTGTGCTCATTGGTTTTACTTTACACTATATTTGGAATTAGCATATTCTTTATGCCCTGTTGGTTCAATAAGAACTCAGACTGATTAAAGGCTGATGTGGCAGAGGTGAGCTATCAGACACAACATCTGAGTTTTATCCCAGCTAGAGTTACACATGGATGGATGACTTCAGTCCCACACAGGGAAAAGTGGTGAGAATTCCTCCGCTGAACAGTAACTGCAGTATATTCTCAGGGAACAGAGAAGCTCTTCTTCTTTTCAGCCTGAGGTCTTCCATTTTATCCCCCAATTTTCCGAGACTTAAGAATTGTTCAATAGGTTTTCTCTTGCCCCATTTTTTCAGCAAAAAAATTGTTGTTCAGCAAACTAGTAAAAGTCAATCACTAAACTCTTTACAGTCATTATCCTCTGAATGCTCGGCCTGACTGACATGGGGGTGCTGTCCCGTCTGTGGGTGCAACGTTTCTCTCTCAGCACTGCCTGTCGAATGTTAATGTTGCAAAGCTGTCTGCGTTTGTCAGTCATTTTGATCTCACACCTTTAGCTTAATCCCACTCTCTCACTCTCTGACCAACTTCAATACTGTGTGGATGAAAATATTGTGACATAAAAATCCAGAGACCAGATCTATGCAAATCATTTTGCAATTGACACACAGCTGGACTTTGACACGCATCTTATGTACACGTCTGTTTCATAGAAATATGCAAAAGATGTGTGAATGAAAGGGGCTTCTGTTTTAATGAAAAGAATCGCATGTCCGTCTCACTCTCAGCACATACTGACCCGAGATGCTCTCATGTAGCTTTGATATGGAGGAAACAAAACAGCCTGCGTGTGTTTTTGTGGGATGAATGAACTGTCTGGTGGACTGTGAATCTTTAGATGTTATTTAAATAATTCAAGCTTTTTGCATCAACCATCTACAGTTAATAATTTCTAAGCAGTCACTTAGTTTTACATTCAGACAAAGAATTCATTTTGTGTCAGAGTTATGGCATTTTAGGAGTAATTAAAGCTCTTTTTATTAGAGCTGGGAATCTTTGGGTTTCTCACAACTCAAGATTCTTGGGGTCACGGTTCGCTTGAGAATCTATTTTTGATTCAAGACGATTCTTTATTCACGAATCACGATTCAAAGTCTGTTTTTGAATTAGTTCATACTTCAGGATCTCCTCCAGTCATCTGTGAGACTGGCTGAATGTCTTGTTGCTCTATTTGGCATTCTACTGAGTTGAAGAGCGAGCCTTAGCACTTAATGAAGTGACCGATTAGCCAAAATTCGATTTTTGGAAGTTATGCATCTATTTCAAATCTCACAAGATAAGAATCTCGATTTTTACATGAATCGATTTTTTTTTTTTTTTTTCCCAGCTCTGCTTTTTATCCCTATACAGTTTAAAAATAATTTTGC